TGTGATTGTGCATACATCAAGACAGCTCTGTAGAAATATACTTTCAAGTAAGTTGCTGTCCAAGGATCATAATCAACAGTATACTAGTATCAACTCTGGAACAACAATACATTATCATTTAATAGTCCGCATATCAAATAACACATAATACTACATGAATACATGACACTGAACTCAAATTGAGAAAATGATACAAGGAGTAGCAAGGAAAACAATAAAATAAAAACATGTAAGGCAATAGCTAAAACATCTTTAGTAATCAAAAGGAGAAAGTTTAGCTTGCCTAACAGAGGATATGTGCAACCCATGGATCAAAAGCAAAGCTGTTGTCAAAAGTGGGTAATTAAAGAATGCTAATCAATACCATGGCTCAAGCCATTGAAATTTGTGTCCTCCTTTGATTTTATTAAAAGCTTAGGCCACCAGTTAAGCACTATGGTTTGTAGAGTCATCCCAAAAAAGATGAGGCTCAAGTTGTGTACAGATTGAACTTGGCCAAAGATGGATTTAGTTTTCGAGATCAGATTCAGTTTTGCGATGTTACCTTGTCACTTCTCAGAGATAGTGTCAGGTTTCTATTTTCCAAATGATATTCCAATTCCCACTAAATAAATTGCCGGAGCTTAAAATAGCTAAAGTGCTGACATACCAAAGAAGAAAACACCAAACTGAAAACAAGAGGGAGAGTGCAAAACTAATGTTTCTAGCAGAATTTTCAGGCAACGTAAAAAGTGGCTGGAATTGACAAGGGTGTAAAAATGTATTCCTTCCCAGTATATCATGTTGGATAGCCTAAGACAGAAAAGAATTTGAACTAATGATAATTAATAAAAACTTTGACAGGAACAAATATTTTAGATGCTTAGCCCCACCTACCGCCTATGTATTGTCAATGTTAAAATCAGTTAAAACTTAAAAAGAAGAATTCAAGTCTGTACTAATTCTTTCACAATCATTCAGTTACCACTGTTCAATTAAAACAGTACATAAGCATTAGCTACAGACTCCAAAATTAAACACTTGACTTACTGAATCTATCAAATATTGAAAAAGCCTCAAAACAAAGTAAGACGGCTAGCTTCCTATTAAAAATCTTTATTGTACTGGTGGAAAATGAGTAGTTAATTGAGCATAGAATGATTAGCAACATAATGGATGATCAATTACTTTATCACTAATCTTAGGGTGAAAACACCAGCTTTGAAGAACACAATAAGCCAAAGAACACGGAATGTAGAATAGCTCTTCTCAAATATCATGTCAGGTTGATACAACTACAACAAGACATGAGCTAAATCTATCTACGATGCTACCTCAGAGTCTATGGTCTTAAGCATTCCTAGCAATAAATACAATTGGCAGTTTATGATAAGTGACCAACAAAATATTAGTCACTCTCACATAGAATGTTGAGTTGCTGACCAACAACTTTCTTTTGGTTGAGGGCTTCATCCACATGTAAATGACAACAGCAGATCAGTGAAAAGTCAGAACATCACCAAGTTTGTCGAAGCACCAACCACAAATGGCTCCATCAGCAACCGTGTCAAGAAGTAGAATGTCACTCCCAGCATAATAGAAATTGGGAGTGCAGGTAGCGCATGACGGCATATGGAAAGCAAGATAAGGGTGCAACCAAGCCCAGCAATGATGGCGAGGTAGCATGCATAAACAGTCATCAGATCATACATGGCAGCTCTCCCAACAAGCACACTGTAGAAAATAAAATCACCAAGGCCCAGCTTGATGCCCCTGGTAGACTCAAACATCTCAAAATCCAGAGGCTCTGACGATGAACTTTGTCTATGCTCCTCATCCAAAGCTGCATTGTTGGTAGATGTTGCAGATACCAAAGGTGATGTCTCTTCTCCGTCAGGCTGTTCAATTTGAATGATGGCATGCTGTGAACTCCCACCTTGGTTTGCTGTCAGCTCTGCTGAAGTCACTGGTACCTCCCTTTCAAGGTTCTCCATTTGGAGCACAGAACCTCTTGACCTGTTTATCTCACCAATGCTTGATCGGCCTCTTCGAAGATCCCTCATTTCCACAACGGCAGGGCTGGCATCTTCCTCCTGCTCCACCCGGTCATACCGACTGCCACCAATCTGACCAGAATCTGTCATGGTTTGCATCTCCACAGACCCCATGGTTGAAGCATAAGAGGAAGAACTTGTGGCTGGGCCGACAGTAGGCCGAGACTCGTAGACGAGTGCCGGTAGCTCATCATCCCTGGAGGAGGCCAGCTCCACAAGCATCCTGAGCGGTCCCCGGGGTGCAAGCACGGCGACGAGGTCGTACACGGCGAGCGCGACGAGCATGATCCACGTGGTCCACTCGGGTCGGGGAGCCTGGAGAGCCAGGCAGCGACAATGACGGCGAGGGCGACCATGTACCCCTGGCGGACGAGGATGGGGACGGCGGAGGCGAAGACAGAGAGGACCCCGACAGCTGCGCCGTTGAAGAGGAGCAGGAGCGCGGTGGGCGCATCGAGCGGGGCCTCGAGGCGGTGGAGCACGGCGGCGACGATGGCGCCTCCCATGGAGAAGATGACGAAGAAGGCGGAGAAGCGCATGTAGTTCTTGAGGAAGCCCGTGCAGCGGTAGTAGTAGAGCGCGACGAGGACGAAAGTGACAGCGGCGACGAGGGCAACGAAGACGGCGGCGTCGAGGAGCGCGCCGAGGAGCTTCTGGCCCGGGGAGTCGTTAGGGGACTCGAGGTAGACGAGTGTGGCAGCGGTGACTGGCGGGGGCGAGGCCGCCGCGGACCCGGAGGACGGCGGCGAGAGGAGGGAGATGAGGAGCACGACGAGGGCCATGCAGATGGAGACCGGGGACATGACCGCCAGCACCTCCGCGCCGAGGGTGTCGAGAACGGAGGTGGCGCTGACGGGCTCCTCCACGGCGGGCGCCGGCGCCGACAAGGCGGCGGCGGCGGGATCCATGCCGCGGAGAGGGAGGAGGAGAGGGGAGACGAGATCGATGGGGAATTTCTCGCGCTCCTCGGAGCTTTCAGGTTTTCGATTTGGTCCACGCGTTTGTGCGAAATTGCGTGGAAAATCTCAAATTTCTCTGTTGAAATGTTTACCAATCAAGCATTATCTAGAAAGCAGCACAAAAATATTTTATTTTTCTATACTGAGTTCAAACTTAAAAAATAGATACTCAAATCAAACACAAATATATGCAGCAACCAACACTCATATATGCATGCACATTTACACCTATAAGGGCAGTGAGAAAAATTTGTCCATAAGCCACTCAAAGTCGCTTATATACATGGTGAGCTAACTCATAGACCGGTCTGTATAGATGTCAGAGATAAAGTGGTCTATAAGCTTACGAGCTCACCCACAAGAGTATTCTTTCTAGTCCCTTCCTCCTTGCGCCTGGCTGTATTTTTTTTTAAAATGGAAAGGGATTCCGTTACTCAGAGCCCGCACAATCGGCAGCTACAATCGACTAGATACAATCTAGGATAGGATCCATAATTGGATCATCCTCCTTCGTACACTCATTCCCAAACACCGCTAGGGCATGAGCAACCGTATTACATGACATCAGAATTTAGCTAACGCCTAGATGAATGGCAGTCTGCATAGTGCGCACCCTGCAAACAGGCCACAACCTCCGCATGGAAAGAGTCCATTATGTGGCATAATCAGCCTTGCCCTGTAGAGACCATGTCTCCATCTTCATCATGGATGATATAGCCCAACCCTCCTCCACCGGTATCCTTGTGAAAGGAAGCATCACAGTTAACTTTCAGGAAATTTGGAACTGGCTTTTGCCACACCTGCTCCTCCTTCACTCTACCTCTTGCTCTCGCGACATAGATTGGTAATCCCTCCCACATAGGCTTGGACAGAATTAACGATGAGCGGCACTGGTCTCCTCTTTCCCTCCTCTCTAATTCTATTCCTCTCTGACAACCACGACCACATTCCTGTTGCCATTTTCATTTGGGAATCCCCTTTCAGCTCTAATATGTGAGCCAATCTTTCTCTCCACCCTTCCATACCTAGTCCGGCCCAAAGCTCTTAACCAAATGACATTTGAAGAAAAGGTGGCCTCCATCCTCACCCTTCTGGTTGCAGATAACACACTTATTCTCTGATATCCATGCCTTGAATTCCATGTAAGCTCTTAGAGGATGGCTGTTGCGTGCAACTCTCCACATAAAATGTTTGATCTTGTTTGGAAGTTGAGAAAGAAGAGCGGATTGTTTTTTTATCTGTGGGGTTGGTCTTTATTTACTATCCTGCTTTCGAACACTGTGAGGGTCAAAGTTGAGAAGAAGAGCAAATGAGTCAGTCATAACTAATGCCAACAACTGCATATGGGCCACCTGGTCATTTAACATTGCCCTTGCCCTAAGCACATGTATATAATACCCTACCATTATGCTTTAACATTTGCCCTTGTCCTAAGCACATATATACCTACCATTATGAGCACCATCACTAGATGTCGTTAAGTGTAAACTTTACGCAGGTAGACAACTTACTGCAAAAAACTCAATCAACTGAGAGCTATACTCAATTTGCAAAAAATAAAATAAAATAATAATAATAAATAAAAATAAAAAGAAGAAGAAATTATCGATTAAAAACAATTAGCTACACATAAAATGCATCCACTTAAGCCAATAAGTCGAAGATGAATGGATAGATCCCACACCGAAAACTTAATCGACTGCGCTACACTCAGAGTTTTATCTTATTTATCTCCAGAAGACACTTTTTTTAGTTTTATAAATCAACGATGCAGAACATGCTCTTGTCTTTTTTTAAGACTACATATCGATGATAACTTTATTGACCCCTGTGTTGTCATCAAGATTACCACAAGTTCATGCTGGTTCTCTTGTCGGAGAAAAAAGAAAACATAAGCCACAACTGATCATCAAACACAAAATTCTTCCAGAGTTCACACTCCGCACCGATGCTGGAATCGATTGGAAACCAGATAAGTCATCCACCATTAAGGCATTAACCAATCACGCTAAGATTTATTGCGACTGGCCTTCTCCTCGATACCAGACTGCGAAAATCTCTTCCTCAGGACCTCAAGGACTTCTTCCATCTTTACATCCTTTACTCTGAGCAGCACCATAGCATGGTACAGCAGATCAGCCATCTCCGAAGCTGCACGAGATTGGTCCTCGTTCTCGAGCAGCGTTTGAATTAGTTCACCAGCTTCTTCACTGGATTATAAGCAAAAATAGCAGCACTGGCATTAATTAAGAGAGAAATATATTGGCATTCTCATTAAAAGAAAAGTAGGAAAAGGGAGAACAAAACATGGCAGTAACAAAAGAAAAAGTATGAAATGCGCTCGAGTCGGGTAAATGGATTCTCTCTCACACACTTGTTGATGCCAAGTCATAAACTCAATAGACAACCATCAATAAACAAATTCTGACACTGAGCATAAATAAACACAACTGAGGCATCAAGCTAATTCAACATCTAATGAAGATGAAGGAAGATGTAATTACAATTTCAATATTGGACTCATTCAACATATATTAAATGTAGAATTTCAAAATCTAGAAAACAAAAGGCACACATGCTCAGATAATTCAGAATCAGATTTCTCTAGTGGGATACCTACATCCTGCCATAAACATTTAGAGCTGTGGGAATTGTCCTGTCGAACCTTTTTAATCCTTGATGACGAACAATATATTTTTGAACATTTAGACTTACCTCTAAAACTTATAAGCACCTATTTATTTTCCTTAAAAATAACTTCCATAATGTTGTCATTTTGTAACCCAAAAATATCATGACCAAAAACACTGGTCGAACTTCATTTCAGAAACCATGAACAGTTAAAATTAACGTCACCCTAATGGTATAAAGGAGTATGCATGTGGCATGCTCACTGCAACTAAAAACCCATAGGTTACAAAAACCTGTGAAATGTGAACGATCTGAGAACCTGACAGCTGAAGATGGCAAAGATGACAGATATACAACAAGAGAACAAGGATAGCAGCAAATACAATAATCTATTTTAAAATGCAGAACTTAGTGAACTAGGCTAAGAAAAAGAGAGAAAAGACTCATTGCTTTTATATTTGTTGTCTTTCCCATTAATTCTATTAACAGTTTTCATAATGTAGTACCATGATGGCTCAGAAAAACGATAACATCACATACCGTATTTTCGAGCAAAGTAGCTGGTTATCAAGCAGTAGTTTTTTCGTCCATGATGGCTTGCCACCTCCTTCAGTGACTATCTCCTCCTGTCGTCTACTAATTGTATCTTCAAGTGAGTATAGGGTTGTCATAACCTGCCTGCCTTCATTGGGCTGTGAAGGGAAATCATATATTAATTTTAATCGTGAATCGAAGTCTATTTCAGGAAAGGGTAACTTAATAATGAGTACCTTTGAACTTTGTAGAACATCATAAACTGAAGTATAATAACACGTTTCTCTTCTTTATGGCACGTAGGTCCATCTGGCTTTCCAAGGTATATTATCTAAGTTGTACGAAAAATAGAACATCTGTGCAGTTAGTACCCTCTGAAGTCGAAGTGAAAGTATTTATTCACAACACAGAACATGCTTACAGAATCACGGTCACAGTCCAGGAAAATGTCATGCACATTAATGAAGTTCATGGATGTCTCCCCTTTCGTCCACAAGGAAGACCGTGAGCGGCTAAAGAATGTAGCTTTCCTGGTTGATATAGTTTTTGCAAGGGCTTCTTTATTAGCAAAGCCCTGCATAAGAATGGCTCCAGTATCCACATTTTGTGCAATAGCAACAGCCAACCCTTTGTTGTCCCACTTCACACTGTCTAGTAACGTGTCAACCTAATTTTTTATGCAGCACAATAATAAACTTATGTTAGGCTTCAATGATAGTTAAACTCTATATTAGAGGAACAATAAAAAACATACATTCTCCTTTCCATTTAAAACTGATGCAAAATTGTAGCAGAGCTACTGCAAAGACTCAATTGCTGTAGTTCGTATTAATGCCAGAATCTACACTGGAAAGATTTGATATTCAAAAGGTTAGAAGAATATATCTGCATGTACAAGGAAATACATAGATGAATCCTAAACCCTCCGAACAAGCACAAGATATAACTACCTAAAGCAAATTACACACACTTCACCAGTACCCGTATGTTTTAGAAACTGCATTTTAAAAAAGTATATTTTGTGAGAAATTGTATCTTAGTTTTAATTAAGCAAAAAAATGGCAGGTTCAATATTATGATATTTTTCTTATTTCCTCTATACTTTGTGGAAAAATTAGCACCACAGCACCCAAAAGTGACACTTTTGTGAAACAATACCAGCTATGGATATATGTCTCAAAAATGGAAGCACTATATACAGTAAAAGAATGAAGCTAATTGCGCCATTCTTAATGCATTATGAAGCAACTAGCATACCAACTTACTAAGCCTCCAACACTACCAGACTGTAAGCAATGGCAATACATATAGGATAAACCAGGACTAAGTCTACACTTCAACTTCTAATTGAGCATTCTAATTTCTAAAGAATGAAGATCAACACAGATTTTTTTTTGTGTGTGTGTGTGGGTTGGGGGGGGGCAATCCATATGTGAATCAAAATGTGAGATATCGAGTTGCAAAATCTGAAATGCCAAGAAACATGAGGCAAATCCTCAAAATTCTGACACAAAATGCTGCCCAAAAATTTCATAAAAACTAAACCCATTTGTTCATGACACAAGTTACTCGCAACGAGCAACCCAAGAATGCCTCACTGAGATGCTTCGCCATACTAATTTCACCCGTGATGATACCAGATATTTATTTTGAGTCTTTGATCAAATAAATCATCAAATAAAAGGCAACGCAAACTAAGAAACATTATCAATACATGATTTCAACATATACAAAGGGCTATTTAGAAATAATGCAGAAATAGGAGTATCAGACACACAAATAAAGATATCAGCTGATGACTGCCTTTTGTAATGGACCATACAACATGATGCAACTAAATCATCCAATCATATTACAGGAACACTATATAGTATCACCACTAATGGTAATGGACAAGATAAACTACTAGCAACATAACAAATCGAACAAGACCATTTAGTGTTTCATCCATATACACTACTTATCTGCGTTCCATGATGAAGTCTGCACTTCATTGGCTTAATGCTTACCACTTGATAAAGCATACATCTGACATAAATATGCATCTAATTGCACAAGCTTCATGGTGCATCCAGAAAGTTGGCTGCAAGCAATGCACTAGCAACAAAATTTCGTCAAACACTATTACGGCATGCCATCTTATTAGCATAAACAGAGCAAAGTATGAGCTATCCAAATCGACAGGCAACATGAAATGTCTTTGCTGCAACTCCCCTTGAGTGCCAAAAACAACCTTGCACAACACCTCATCCAGGGCTTGTATCCATCATGTGTCACAGTGTCAGTGTGGAACTCCTCACCCTCACCAGGGCACTTAAGGCAGGGAACGGATTGCCGCCCCAGTGGCTTACAGTCCGCTCCAATCCCACAACTAATTTGGTCCTAATGTAATAAGAGAGAAATAGATTTCGCTGGGAGAAGAAGGAAAGAAAACTCCAAACCTCGGTGTCGACGGCTACAGCTCCTGGCGCGGACTGCGCGGAGCCCACCACCACGGAGACTGCCGGGTACGGCTCCCTGCGCCGCCACCCAGGGGCCGAAGCCGCCACGGAGCGAAAATTGGGGAAGGATGTACCGCTAGAGAAGATTCCCGCGCGGCACGCTGAGGAGGAGGACACGGATGCGTGAGTTGGTGCGGCCGCCGGGGCCGCCGCCATCGGAATCGAAACCCCGAGTCGTCGTGAGTCGTGACGTGACCTGCTCATTCGTGACTTCACGAGTCATCAGTGATTCGTTACTCTCTGCTCAGCCAGGTGATGGGCCTCCTCGGGCCCGGTTACTTGAGGCCCAGAGAGGCAGAGAGCTAGGATTGTATGAAACTATGAATGACGACCAAGAGCAACTTCTGCATGGTCTCTATTTAAGCCCTTAGTATCTAAATATAAATGTTTTATTTATATCTAATAATAATAAAAAGACAAAATTTTCAGCTATTTTTTTTTGTCCATCTATTTTTTTCATCCACCTCCCCTAACTACCGGTGGTCAAACGTTTCTTCCGTCTAAACTTATATGACCCGTGCTCATATGAGTTATAATAGCTCTTGTCTAACGCGATATAGATTTCGATTCCAAAACGTATTATTAAGGTAACCTAGATACCTACAATTCCTAGTAATCCAAATATATCTTACTATGAATAGGAATTTTAAACCAAATATAATTTTAATACGTTCGAGTGCATGCACAGGGTCGCGCATACCAGCTGTGTTTGGCCGCTCACGTGTGGATGCATGTCTGCAGTCTTGCACATGCATGTGTATCACGTAATGCACCAGATGTGAGCAAGCCCAGAGACTCTTAATTAAGTAGATCTTGAGGTTCGTTTTTTTTCCTGCTTGGGGCCATTGTTGCCCAATGTACTTCTACATGTTATAGGTAGACTCTTAATTAAGTAGATCTTGAGGTTCGTTTTTTTTTCCTGCTTGGGGCCATTGTTGCCCAATGTACTTCTACATGTTATAGGTCTTAGCGCACTAGAAACGATTTGTGGCAACGTCTTCCTTTCTTTGTAGGGGCGGCTCTATATTGAGCCGCCCCTATAAATGGTTGTCAAATGAGTTGCCCTTATAAATGGATTTGTAGGGGGCCTATGTTATCAGCCGCCCTACAAATGGTTGTCAAATTAGTCGCCCTTGGTCCGATTTGTAGGGGCGGCTCTATATCCAGCCGTCCCTACAAATCGGATTTTTAGGGACGGATCAATATTGAACTGCCCCTACAAATAAACATCAATTATTAAAAATTAAGCACTAAAATTTAAATTTTGTAAACGACCTCGGATGGAGAAACAACTAAAATAAAAATTGTATATCTCGAAAAGTTATGAAACTTTGTGGTTGATAACTTTTAAATTTGAAAGTATCTTGTCAAGGAAAACTACGTTTGAATTTTTAAAAATTTAAAATTTTAATTTTCTAAACGACCTCGGATGGACAAACAGTAAAAATGAAAGTTGTAGATCTTAAAAGTTATAAAACTTTGTAGTTGATAACTTTCTCATTTGAAATCATCTTGTTATGGAAAATTACGTTTGAATTTCTCAAATTTGAAATTCAAATTTTATAAGTGACCTCAGATGGAGAAACTACCAAAATAAAAGTTGTAGATCTCAAAAAGTTATAAAACTTTATAGTTGACAACTTTTTCATTTGAATTAGTTTAGGGTCTCAAACAATCAATTTATGCTCAGTTTTGTATAATATGTGGGGAACTAAAATGGATTGTAGACACAAGTGATCGTGAGGTGCAGTGGTAGAGGAGTTTGCACGCGAGGAAGAAGTTGCGGGTTCGAATCTTGGACGACGCAAAGTGTGCAAAAATCATGAAAAAATGCTGTAACTATAGAGTGGGTGTTGTGGCTGCCAGTGGGACCTCCTCGGATTAAAAAATGCTATTTTTTGTCCCTTTTTCGTGATTTCTGGAAATTGATTTGTAGGCGCGCTCAATATCCAGCCGTCCCTATAAATCGATTGTATGGGCGGCTGGCCAACCGCCCTTACAAATCGTTGATTTGTAGTCACGGTTTAATAGGGGTGTCTGCCAAAACCGATGCTACAGACCATCTGGAGCCGCCCCTACAAATACAATCCTGGCGTAGTGGCGGTTCAGCTACGCGCCTTATCGTCATTCTACTATGACACAAGCAAGGCGGGCGAGCAAAGCTGATGTTCCAGCTGTGCCGCGCTAGCTCCATCTACTACTATGACCCGCCTACTACACCAGTTACATGCCGCCAACATCACCGAAGCGAGCGGGCAACGAGGCGGACGATGCGGGCAGACGAGGCAGATGGTGCAACTCTACGTCGCCCACCACCGTTTGACACCAACAAGGCGGGCGACATGGGCAGGCGGGGATGACGCAGGCACGTGAAGTTGGCAGTCTAGCGACACAACACAAACAAATGGCCTGACCAGGCTTCTACTTCAACGACTTCTACCTCTACCATGCTCTTTAGCGTATCCCGAAGATGCAACGACCAAGGACGTTTGAGACAGTTCGACTACACCGTCTCCATGCTTGTGTAACCACCACTACATGGCGTTCGATACCGACGAGGTGAATGGCACAGACGGGTAGCGGTTCTTTCTACACTATACCGGCCCATGTATGTCTTCTCTTCTCTTTGTTTCTTTTTATGTACTTTAATACAATGGCATGCTCGTGCTATTTTCTATGCATAGAGAGATCCTCTTCCTCTGGTGTGATTTTTTTCTCTCCAAACAGGCACGTTATACAATTCGATTTAAAGATGAATTTAAACATATGATGCAATCTCAAACACTATTAAGTCCAATCTCTCAAGACAAATTAAAATGCACAGACAAGCGTCTCGTGCTCATGTATACAAGTTATTTTTGAAAAGTTCTTGTATACAAGTTAGAGCACCACATGTTTGTTGGATAAAGTTTTAAGCTACAAATCATCTACACAAACTACGCAACAAGTTGTACTCCCGTTGCAACGCACGGGCATATTTGCTAGTAAAAAAAAGAGAGCTAAATATAGGTGTTCAGACCAAAACATGAGGTCCAGCAGGGCCTCTGCTACGACATCCAAATTTGGGTGGATACCCAAATTCAGCCATCACCACCCGTCCCTGGGGGCTCAAGGCAGAGCCCCAAAACGTCCATTTCGGCTGTTTTCCTCGCGCGGGCTTTTTTCCTACTCGCGGACAAAAGCTGCGCGCGCCGCGCTTTCTTTGCCAGCTCGCGCTGCTTCCTCCCCGTCGACATGCCACCTACATCTTCCTCCACCTCGTACGCGGAGCTTCCCCTCCCCTCATCTAGCTAGCTCGTGTGCGGGCCACTTCCTGTCCTCCTGTGAGCAGGAAGGAAGACAACATGTTCGTTTGATCCCAAATCCATAGGGTTAGAAGGGATTGAGAGGGATTCAATCCCCCTACAAGTCAAATTTCTCCTCTACCCCCTTCAATTCCTCCCATCTCAACATCAAGCAAATAGGGCTTAAGGGTTGTTTGGACTACTCCACTCGAGTTTTGTGCTCCGATCAAACACCTCCAGCTCCTAAAACTAAGCTTCACAAAAAAGATGGAGTTAAGGGCCAACTTCACATTTTTTTCTGGAGGGTGCTCCAGAATTTTACCTTTTGTGCTTCCTCATGGAATTGGAGAAAAAAAACCCACAACTGCCACTCGTACACAAATACTGACGTTTCCTTTCCTTTCTGTCTAGGACTGCTTCTGTCCGTCAACCCGTTCTCGACGTTTCTCTCGCGCCGCCCCCCTTCCTTCTCAATGGACCCTAGCATCGCCGTCCACTATTCTGGTCACCCCAGCCAGCACTCCGACAGGGTGATGGATGGAACAGATAGATCCAATGATGCTCTACCGGATGACCTCATTTTTTTGTCCCAAAATTTCTCCGGCGCCAGTCATCCAAGCACGCCTAGGGTGGTGGCTTTGTACTAAATTATTTACATAAACATTTCTCAAGTACATGACCACGCCTTCCTCATCATATATTTTAGCAATTCATATACTTTGATCTCTGTAATTTTGTTGCTGAATCATGTACTTGGATCCCTGTAATTTTGTTACTGAATCATGTACTTCAATCTCTGTAACTTTGTTGTTGAACCATTGTTTAATCAGTATATCTCTCTAAAAAAGAAGGAAGCCAACATGTGATTCATGTGTGCAGACAGTGAAACAGAGGTTGGTTAGCATGTGAGATATGGGTTAATTAATTGTGTTTTGGATGGAATGGGCTAGAAAAATAAATTCATTTGATTTGGGGTTGAGTGCAAATGAGGTAGGTTCTATCTTATTTGTTTTATTTTTATAAATTTTACCTTGTTTTGTATTTTACCGTAGCATTAATACGGCGACACTACTAGTGCTCTCAAAGAGCAGGTGGAGGAGGGGCAATTCAGATGACCACACATCTGTTCCGACATGGGGAGGGTTAGCCCGTGTAAGAAAAATGGACCCTAGGCCCATTTACTTTGATTTTGGTGTTTGATGATCAACACAACTAAATTGGACTAATGTGTTTGGTAGTTTCTATTTTATAGTCAAATAGGATGCAACGTGGACTTGGACCAACTTTGGAACGTGAAGAAATTGATCAACACTCAAGAGAAGACATTGGAGGAGGTGTTGAAGCTTAGGAGAGAAGCAAGGAGTCCAAGACGTCAAGATGACGAAGCCCCGACGAAGAAACAGCAAGAGGGGGCACCGCCCTAGGCATGGCGGTGCACTGCCAGGGGGGCACCGCCACCAAACAGAGGGCTGCTGTAGCTAGAAGGAGAGGGGGGCACCGGACAGTAACGTGTGCACCGCCCTGGTCACCGCCATGGGGTGGCGATGCACCGGATAGGGGGTGGCGGTGCTACCGCCCTAAAATTCTAGAGAGCAGCAAAGGGGGACTCGGGCACCGCCCTAAGGGTGGCAGTGCACCGCCCTGTGAACAGTATCCCCAACGGTCGGTGTGTCAATGAGCAACAACTAGTCCACGTGGCGGTCACTACCCTGTCCGGTGCCAGGCACCGCCCTATCTGGTGACCTCACAGAGAAGAGGATCTCTGCTACAATGGCTAGTTTTGACTTGAGGGCTATAAATATTTGCCCCAACCGGCCATTTGGAGTGTGAGGGAGCTGAGGGAAGATAGGAGGGTGTTGCTACACCTCATTT